GATATGACTGAAAGGAAGCTATGACCAGGATCTTCATCATCTGGATCGTGTTTTGAGGGCTACTGGCTAGAAAATCACATTGAGTCTGGCTGAGTCCAAAACTCCGGCATGCAATTATTTCTGAGTTGGAAATATTTGCCTAAATTTAATAGAGGGAGCCACAAATTGTTAGAACACAAATAGCTGAAACTTAGTCTGCATATTTCTAAAAATTGGCACCCATGTTACAGACAATTATATTAAATATACCAAGCTAATATTTTTTCATTGATAGATTTTCAATCATGAAACAAAAATATACCCAAATTTTATAAAATGTGCCTATTATCTCTTAGTTTGTCCCATCTGTTTTCCTCAGAAAATGACCTCTCTAAAAACATGGGCTTCCCTGTATGATTGCTGTCACTGATACAAATAAGAGGTGGGATTTCACTAAGTAGAATTTTCAAATTCCTTTGCACAGGTGATTATACAATCTTCATGACAATACAAGAACTTAGACTTACAGCTTGTGCAAGGCAATTAAGTAGGCAGGTACAATGTCTCAAGTGCACTCTCTGAGATAATTAACTTAATATTCAGAAATTGTAACTTATCCTTTGAAAATGCAAGCTCTTCTGATTTATCTATCACTGTGAGGGGAGACAAAACCACTCCTGTTCATAATAGGAATATTGTGGCATGAGACTTGGTATCTTGTCCAACGAGGCAATAAATCAAAGAACACAGCAGCCAGATTTTTGAAGAAAGAATGTTTTCAGCTGAAAGAGAACTGTCCTTGACTTTCTTCATGTGGATGCAAAACTGTGATTCAACAGCAAATATGAATAAAAAATTAAAATGCACATATAAAATAACTGTAGCTTTAACCTCAGAAATCAAAACATGGGAAAATGAGAAATCTCTCCCTCTAAGATGTTGCAATTGATAATGCTGTTTCAGGATACAAGGGGATACTGTCAGCTCATAATTTAGAGAACACAAAAATTAACTAGAAAAACTCCTTTTAATGTCTGTTTTGCTGTTGTGCATGTGCATTTCCACGTGCATGTGGATGAGGATGCATGTGTGGCTTTCAGTTCTTTGCTACCTCTTATTTTCCTTTCTTTTTCTTTTTTATCTTTTTTCTTTTTCTGCCTGCAAGAGCAACACAAACAAGGGAAGACTGACTAATGCACCTCAAGCTCAAAGTTTCTCTCCAGGGAGACCTGCCTTTGCCCACGCAGCACACCATTAAAAATGGTGAGGCTCCACATGGGAGCACAGGGCTTCCCACATGCAGCAGCCTGCAGGATCAGGAGAATTAATGATGCAAAATGTTGTCTAAAGCAGGCACATGACTTGACTAAAGAGTAAAAAAAAACTATATAGATGTAAAAACTCAATCAGCTCTTTGTAAATGCAACATAAAAACAAAAAAGGTTTTTTTGTCCTGTTCTCCCACAAACACTCAATAGGAGAAAATCCCATTTACTTGTTTATTGGATCTCCAGTTAGTTATTCTTGAAGACCTGTCAGTTTTTCCTTTTCCCCATGGCTACATCAATTCCTGCATGGTGTGCATAACACAGAAGGGAACTACTTTCAAGCCAGATTCTTGGCCCTATTAGAAATTTGTAACTGAGGAATTATGCAAGAAAATGGTGAATCCAGGTCATCCTCACCCTGGCAATCCCCAGCAGCTGCTATAGCCCCTGGAAGTGGCAGTAGTCAGCCTTGAAATTTCTACAGCTATGTAATATGACTGGGAGCAATACCATTGAGTATACAGTTGGTATCACACAAATTAATACAGTGTAAATTCTGCCACTTTGTTGCTCACCCCAGTGAGCTCTTTCTTTCCCTTTCAAGGAGTAGCTGTGCTGATCAATAACTAGAAAATCTGTTAGAACCAGAGAAAATTGTTTGCCTTGTGAAAACTGTTTCTCTCCTGTAAACATTTGCTTTTAAATAGCATGGACTGCAGCTGCATCCTAGATTGAGCAAGCCAGCAGAAATTGCTCACCTTAGTTTGACTTGAAAGGGGCAGTCATTTCTACTTCTATCAGTCAGCCTCAAACTTGACCCCTCTCCCACCCAACTTATGGTAAACACCAAGGGATTGCAGGATCAGGATCATTAAGCAGTGCTGAATGGACAAGTCCTAAAGCAAAGCAGAGGGACAGTCAATTGTAGGCAGAATGCAGCAGATTTATATCCACTAGGTGAAAGAAAAATGACTCCTAAATGGGCTGGAGCAGTTGTGAAACTAGTCTGCCACAAGCAAGGATGAAGCATGGGAGTCTCAGAGAAGAGCCTCTTTGCTATCCAGCTCTAAAAGCAATTACCATAGATAAAAGCAAGTTCTTGGCAGGGCAGGCAAACTGACAGGGCTCAGTTCTTAAACAGCAATCTGATCCCAGGGGACCTTCCAGATCACTTACAGACCTACCATCACAGCACCATTACTGACTGAAAATATGACAAGAGAGGAGGAGTGGGAGAGACTGTCCCTTCAAATAAACGGATGTTGTCCAGAAAGAGAGGCAGTAAAGAGAGGATTCCAGTGTAAATTACTGTCCTCGACACACGTGGTAGGAAAGCAATACAGTCAGTGGTGGTAAGAGTAAGCTTCAGTTCTGCAAATCAGAAAGTAAAACCCTCAGGCATTTAAATTTTTAATTGAATCCCCTTTTAGTGTGGTAAATCTGATTTAGTGTGATTAGTGTTCAGTAGTTAATTTCACGGATCAGAACAATTGTTCCATAATCTCCCAAACATGATTCTGTAAGGCCTAAAGCTGTATTACATTTCTGCTGTAAGCACAAACTAATATAATTTTTAAATAAAATATGAACTAATAATATATTACATTGTATGGAGAGGCAATTATTTGGTCTAGTGGTAGGCATTGATTTATTTTAAAAAATATCAGAGAAAAGCTCAAGGTTAAAGTGAGGAGTTAGAGGAAGACTGGAGAAAATAAAATATCTTTCATTCTCTAAAAGAAAGTTTTGAACTATGTGTCTCATGAGCCATGACAGAGAGCAAAAACTGAGAAGATAGAGCAGAGCAAGAAGCTGGACACTGAAGCATGGAAAGATGTATGCTTATTATTACTTAGAGAGACAGGTGAAAACAACAAGCAAGTGAACAAGCAAGAATAAAAGATCAAGAAGATGCAGTTAAAGCTGAAGTGGTAGCAGGTGGCCATCCTGCAAGAAGAGAAAATAAAGAAACTCTACTTCTGGAAAAAAAACCTGACAAATAACATAAGTTTACAAAAAGAAGCCCTCACAAATAAAACTTTGAGTATGTGGATAGCTGGAGTCAGAACTATAAAAGTTTTACTCAAGAGAGAAATTATTAAAAGCATTGTGGCAATTCCTCTGCTGATGGTGCAGTTCCTTGGATCAGCTACCTCAGTGCAAAGTCCAGGCAAGCTCAGGCATGCATGGGTGCATCATGTTTACCAGGGGTAACCCAGAGAGCATTAGTAAGTACAAATACTTGAGCTTTCCTTGATCTAGCATTAACCAATTTCAGATCCATCTGTTCCACTTTGGATTGCAGCCTGAATGTCTCATGTTAACTTCATATGTTTCTAAATTGCCGTCAGTTGTATCTTCTACTAAATAATGTTCATAATTCAATAACCATCTGGACAGAACAAGGGCAGTGTTCTCACTAATTTCAAAAAGCTTACTTAGAGATTGGGGAATAGAAGACCTGATCCCATGTCCCTACATTCCTAGGTTTAAAGAACACTACTTATAGCATCTTCCTGTGCCCAAATTAACAGTGAAACATTAAAAAAATAAAAATGTTCTTTAAGCAAATACACCAAAGGCTTGTAAGCCACATTTTATCTTTTGTTAAACATAAGCAGTCTTGTGACCTTCAGAGCCCTTTTCCTAAGTAATGGAAATTTGAGGCGAATAAAGAACAAATTGTGTTTCCAATAAAGAAATGGGAGGTTGGGAACTGATTTAAGGAGATAGGATTTGACTAACTCAGTGAGTTAGTAGGGAAACAAAACAGTCTAGCCTCCTTTTATGGCTTACTTTGAGCCTGTAGAGCCATCTCCATTTCAATTCCCCTCATTAAGGAGTTTTCTCATTTTCAGTTTCTCTCATTAAAGACATAAAGTTTAAAAGGTGTCAAATAACTGGAAGAAATTGTGTTTGTACAGTGAATTGAAATCCAGCAGCCTCAAGTTTTGTCCTCAATTACATCCACATGAACATATTTGTAACTTTGGTGCTAATTGCAAGTACAGATGGTATCAAAGTCATTTATCTGCAGCTCTTGGGATTTATCAAAAAAATGAAGGTAAAATGGCAGGCTGAAGTGACAACTCTTGGTTTACTCATGCATGTTATCAGTGATCAGAAGCAGAAATAAACTTGCATTTTGTGATACTGAATGAAGTCATCCTAGCACTGAGCTAGAAACAAAGCAGCAGTTGTTTCAAAGTTTCTTCCACATAGTACTATAAAATGATGTTCAAATCAATAATAGTGAGTAAAACAGAAAAATTTACTCTATTTTTTTCTGTTGCATTGTAAAAAAAAGTTTATTGAGAAGAGCTGGAAATATTTATTTGGGAATCTTTGCTGCTGACCAGCAGCCCTTATAAATGATGCAAATTGCCCCATCAGCCCATCTTCCACTGTCAGTGAACCTTTTCTCTCCTCGGTTCCTTTTCATTCCTCTCCTTCTTCTGTTCCTCTACTGTGTCATCATCAACAGTAAGACACCTGCAGTTTACGATTATATGTAACTTTAATCTGTCATTTTCTTTAAAAAGTCTGTGCAGTCACTTGTCATCTAGATCCAGTAAATTTATCTTTGAAAAAACTATTCTTTGAAATAAATTCTCTTAATACAGAAGGTGAACATGCACTTTTTGCTGAAAACACCTCAGAAGCTTACAGACTCCCAGGAATACTTGTCTGCATACTCCTCTCTGGGAAAAAAAGAATTGTTTTTGGATCAAATAAAAGCTTGAAAATACTTACCTCCTAAAATATTAATCAACAAGATAACAGGAGAGGTAGCACCATACAAGCTTCTTAGAGTTTCTAGCCTAGTCAAAAGAAAACCAGATGAAGGTGCTGAGAGAATTGAATTCAACGGTATTCTGAAATAACATTAAGATGAATTCTACAAAGTTTCTTAATGATCAGCCTAGCTTGGCTTTTTCTAAATACCCTCCACTAACTCAAGTAATAACTAAGAATGCAGGATTAAGTAAGTCTTTAGTCAAAGTCAACATTGCTCTGCCTTTTGCCTCCAGAGACATATTTACTTTTGCTGTTAATGAATAGCTTTGCGATATTTCTATTTAGATATTATGTATTGCCTACTTCTTCCAATTTTTATTTCCTCCTTGGAGCATCTGCAATTTAACAGTCAGACTGGTACTTACATCTTCAGTACATCAGAGTTTAAAAAAAAAAAGTCACTGTCATCATTGAATAACACTTAATCAATAAAACCCCATTTCCTAAACAAAAAAGTCATACCTGAAGCCCCTTTCAAACAGTCATGGTTGATTGTAAAATCCTACTTACCATACAAGTCATGTTCTCTATGCATAGCAGGAGTCCTGTCTGTCGTTCTGTCATTTAAGAGCAATAGGCATACGTCAGACTGACAAGCAAATTATTCTTTCTAACCCTCTAAGTTCTTGGAATCCCTTTGGAAAGAGCATGATCAATAAAGGGGTTCCCTGGAGGATTAATTTTTTCTTACTTTACTTTTTTTGAATGAATTATCTCTGCAGTGTTTTTTATGCTCTGGAGTTCCTATTTATTCATCCTATCAGCTTGTGGGTTATATTGTGCTTGTGTGCAAATGATACTCTCACTTCCCATTTCTCAACAGCATGTGCAAATGCTTATGTTTGCAATGGCCCTTGGACAAATAGTGCCCAAATTACATTCTGCCTCTTTTTCCTTTCTGTGCTTACTATCTTTCTGAAGAAGGAGTAAGAATAATCTGGGGTCCTCAGTCACTAAGTTTTATTGTAGCAAACTGGAATTTTCTGTTCTCATGTCATACCAGAAGAAGAACTCATATACAGCATGCTATTGAAGAAGTGCTTGTTTGTGCCTGAAATTTGTCTATGATTCTCATCTGACTGGTTTTCCAGTCACATTACAATCATAGAACCATAGAATTATCGGGTTGGAGAACACCTCTAAGGTCATTGAGTACAACCATTCACCCAACACTGTCAAGCCCACCACTAAATCATATCCCTTAGCAGCACACCTACATGTTTTCTACATACCTGCAGGGATGGTGACTCCAAATTCCCTGGACAGCACAGCTGGCCTAATGAATGCTGTAGTGTTTTACAGTTACCACAGTCCCCCCAAAATATTTTTCTTCTTTGTTTCAAAGAAGAAAAATATTGCATTTATAAGCGCATGCAAACCTTATCAATTGTTCTCTGAGTAAAACCAAAGCATGGCATGGCTTTTCAATCTTCTATACCACCTGAGAAGCTGAGCCTCAAGCAGAAGATTTCAGTCTGGAAGAGATCACTCAGTCTCACAGGTCCCACTCCCTGGAGTCCCAGTGTAGGGAGGGGCTCAGCTGTTTCCATGGCTGCCAGGTGGTAGTGCCTCTCACAGCCTCTCTGCTCTGGGAAAACCCACCTGGTTTTGGCACCTATGCACCCTCTGGGTATGGACCCTTGAGAGCACTTTCCCCTAGGTCACCCAGGGCTGATGTTGCAACTATTGGTCTGCTCTCTTCTTCATACACCTTTGGAAAGAGAATAAATGCTACTGAAGCTAAAACACTGCAAATACTTAGTCCTTAGTTTGTGTCTACAGTTAACCAGTGGACAGAGTTTACAACAGTGGCCCAAATGGAAAAGGCTTCAGTGCTTCTTCTGGTCATGCCATGATTGAGGTGGACAAAAGCACAGGCATGATTTAACCCTGACCAAACTGTAACTTCTACAAAAGCTACTGACATCAAGCTTTGCTTTAGTGAAGACCTAGCAAAATAAGGAACACCTTCTCTTTTTTTTTTTTTTTTTAATAGTAAACTACTTCTCCTTGTTTCTGAAGGCAAAATAAGGAACACCTTCTCTTCTTTTTTTTTTTTTTTTTCAATAGTAAACTACTTCTCCTTGTTTCTGAACTATGCAATATGGTTATTTTAGCTTGTGATGTTACTGACAGCTGTCACTGCTGTTTGTATAGTTGAGAGGCTTTGGGGGGAAAGGGTGGTGGGTTGATTTCCCAATTTCATGAACTATTAAATCTGGCAACCAATTCAATATTTCTAGAAAGACCACAGCCTGGTTTTCAGATTTGGAAACGTGGATACAAATGCCAGATACATTACACAAGGTTGTATATCACCTAAATTGTGAACCGAGTGTCATATGTATGGCTTTTGCCAACTGTTGACTTATTTTCACTGTTCACTATGCATTTGGTCTGAACAAGGCAGTCCCATTACTTTATGTTTACAAGCCTCTGTTTTGTAGCAGGTTGAAGGCAAGGACGTTAAAATTAAAAATATAGTATCTTACTTTGCTTTGGACACAGTGAAGATTGCTTTAAAGAGGAGCTCATTCTGCATGTGTAAAAATGTAGATTGAATATGGTTTTACTTTGTACCTTCCCAATTTAATACTGCTTGTATATTTTAAAACACAAGAGATGTAGAAGTGCAGGCCTTATGTAAAATTCATCACAACTCTTCAAAACAGGTTGGATATGACCAGTGACAAATGATGTTCCATAAAGCATTGTATGACTATTTTTAACATACCTCTCATACATAATTTCTCCTGCACTGACTGCCCAACAATATGAACATGTTGAAATACAAGCCATTATAAATGACAGGCCTTTGTATCTCCACCTAATCTTTGCAGGACCCTACTCACTTGACTTCAATATGAGAAGCAAATAAAAACAAGTGATGTGGACAACTGGATCCATCCCAGGAGCTTAGCTCCAGCCATCTATTTGTATTAATCACTAGTGCATATTCCTGGTGAGTGCATGCTAATTCAAAAGATCCCAAGCATTTCACTTGTGTCACTGTCTTCATCTTTATGTTCCCTTACTGGGCAGTAATTTCCCTTTAGTTGAGATCCCAAAGGTTGTGTGCTCCCCCCACCAATATCAGCAGCTGTGGATTCTAACCCTCAGGTCTAGTATTCTCAAAATGCCTTTTTTTAAAGTTCATTTCTCCATCACTTTCATAAAAGAACAACTTTCTTTTACCTCCTACTTCTCAAAATTGTTTACTTCAGCACCCTCCTCATTTTTCATCCACTACTTCCACTTTTGTCCTTCACTGTAAGATAGATGATAAACGGCCCATGCATCAGCATGCATTGGCTTTCATTCCCAGTCTTGCCCACTCACTTTCTGCACCACAGGATTATCTGGGATCTGAAGAAAAGCTAGGATCCATCTCCCCCAGGCCATATTAAAGGCAGGCACATAAGCATCCATTTGCAGGCATCATGCTGCAGCACTGGTCGTAGCCTGTTATGAATGGGAACAAGGAAGGATCAAAGTAGAACACATAGCAATGAAAAGATTAAGTACTTCTCCCAGAAAAGCTTCCTGACTTCAGGCTACATGTCTCCAAAATGCACTGGGTGACTTTGCTGCGGCTTTGGCTGTGTGTGAGGGCTAGAGAAGTTCTGTTCCCTGTGCCCTTGCTAGTCATGTTGCCAGCATGTTTACCTTTCAATAAAATGGAATAGTATCACACCTGATGTTGTGAGCCTCAGGTAAATAAGACACTTCTGAGATCCTCAAGAGGAAAGGTAAAGGATTCTGAAGGTGAATTCTTTATCAGAAAAAAATCTTTACTGAAAGGGTTAAAAACATTGGAATGAACTGTCCGGGGAAGGGGCATAGCACATAGTGCCACGATTTGGATGACATGGTAGTGTTCAGTCAAAGGTTGGACTTGATGACTTTGGTAGTCTTCTGCAGCCTTAATGATTCCATTATTCTAACTTTGCGTTTGCTGTGTTCTCATTTCGTACTCTGGACCGGCATTTTCTTCCAGAATCAGTCACTGTCATCCTGTGTGTAGATACTGGAAGTGCCTCTTCACCCATCCTATTTGCATTAAAGGGCAGACTAGAAAATACTGCCTCTTGCAAGCCCAAGTACTCAGCGCGAACTCCCACGCCCACTCCCCCCCAGAATGACTCCGTGGATTCCAGCCTCCTCCCTGTGTAAACAGGGAGTGCGCGCAAGGACAGGCAGGATGCTCACAGCCACCGACTCTCATTCGTACTAGGAGCCAAGGATGACACCAAGCACATCTGCCCCTCACTCCACGGGGAACTCCTGGGGCCGCGGAGCTGGGCGGGTCCCCGCAGGGAGGCAGAGGGGCAGCGCTCCGCTCCCGGCCGTTCTCCCGCTCTCCCGGCCGGCAGCCCGGGCTCCCCAGGCCCTGCCGCCTCCAGCCTGCTCCACCACTCGCTCCCGTCCCCGGGAAGTCCCGCCCCGCTCGGGGCGGTCGCGGCTCCGTGCCAGCCGGGGCCCTGCGGGGTGCGGTGCTGCCGGCGGAGGGTCCGGGCCGCGGGGTGAGCGAGCGGGGTGTGGGGAGCGCCTGCGGAGCCGCCGCGCCGCCTCCCGCGGCCCACAGCCGTGCTGGGCTCGCCCTTGCTGCCCTCGGCCCGACAAGGCGCCCGGGCCCAGAAACTTCCCCGAGTTGTGGAGCGAGAGCGGCTTTCGGTCGCTCCTCTGCCGGCCCGGGAAGGCCCGAGGCGGAGAGCGGGCGGCGACTGGCGGTGCTCGGGGCCGGGGCGGGCGGGGAGCGCGGGGCTGTGCCGGGCTCGGGCCGGCGGAGCGGCGGCTGCGGGGCGAGGGCAGAGGGGGCCGGGCCGGCGGCGCTGGGTCAGGCAGGGCTCCTGCGGGGAGCCCCGCGGCACGTGTGGAGTGTGAGGGGACGGGCAGCTCCTCTCCGCAGGAGCGTTTTACAGCGCCAGATGATGGTTACCCACAGTGAGCCCCGAGCTTAGGCGGCTTCACTGTGTGAGTGCAGCTACGCTGCTATTATTAGTGCTGGTATTTAATATTTGTACAGCCATAACAAGTTAAATATTGGAACTACGTCCTTTCTAGTACTCCTCTCACGACAGTTCCCGAGGGTGTCTCTGTGAAGGAACGAATGCCTCAATCCAAAACTGGGACCTTCAGAGCCTGCCTTCAGCTGCCTCTCCATCTGGAAGCACCAGCAGCCCTCTGCAAGATGCTTCCAGAGTTGCTTAAGCTTGTCAAGGCTCAGCAGCAAAGCTCCAGACTTGCCTGTGTGCGCTGTTGGGACACGACAGGACACCATGCGTGTTCTCAGTGGCCCGAGGCTTGCTGCCCGTGCCAAGACACGGTTGCAGCAGGTTCCCTGCTCCCCTGGAGCGGCTCGGGAGCCGCGGAAGGCAGGCTGAGTCTGAGCGAGGGAGGTTCAGCTCCCCCTGCCAAGTGTGCTTCAGCACGGTGGCAAAGCCACTGCTGGGCAGTGGCCTTGGGTTTCGGCTCCCCCTCTGCATTAGGTCTTGTGTTGTCGGTCAGTTTGGTCTAAGTTGAAGCATACAGATCCTGTTGGTGAGGAACTCTGAGGAGCCTAGCAAGTAATTGAATGTATATATGATCTCTAAGATACCTGTAAACATAATTCTTTTTTTGCAGTTATCTCTTGTAAAAGGTGGTATCTTCTGTATGCTAGAGGCTTGCGACAGTTCTTGAATGAAACAAATTTTTAGCTGGAGGTCACTTACTTCTGGGAATTTTTGTTTTACTTGTCTGGAATTCCCTTCTGCTTTACACTGGATAAATTATTCAACGTCCTCTGTCATAATACATTCTGTAATGTTTAAAGGTTGTTGCCTTCTTTCTGCTGGGGGCTGTGTTTCAGTGATGGGTGAAGCAATGCTTCTAATAAGTAGTTTTGTATCATTTTGTCAGGTACTTTGGGATTGTTTTATGAAAGACTACATAAGTGTCATTTATTATTATGAATGCCTCTTATGTTTTAGAATTTAACAGATATAATATTTGCCATCCTGTCACCATCATCACATTAATTTTCATAGTTATAATCAAAGGTGGCAACAATGGCATTCAGATGCTTAATTATATTTCATGTAGGTGACCAGTGCTAACTTACTGAATTAGTGCATGGTACAGTGGGAACAAGTGTCACAGCTTCCCTCTGTGGTTAGGAGCCATCAGCTTGCTTCTCACACATAAAAATCAGTGTATAGTGAAGCATATGGCACCAGTGAGTTCTGTGTTTATTAAAGGACTATGCCTCTGAACATTCTGTGATTTTTTTTTTCCTTATTTCACTTGATGTAGATCTAAAATGTTTTTCCTGTCTTTCAGGACTTGAAATACTGAAAAAATTCATTTTTTAGTCAGATGAAACCAAGATTTCTTAAGGTTCATGAAAACAGTGAGGCTTCTGCTTGTATCAGGCTGGCCACCTGTCTGGTATGAGGGAATTAGAGATCCATCTAGACTGTGGAAACCTAAGGAATAAGTCTCTGGTTTGATTCAGAACAGTTTTGAACTCTTTTACATTTTCTGCATTTCTGGAAAATTGGATTGCCAGCTGTATTGAAGGGCAAGGGGAGTATCCCATCCCTCTAGTGCTAAGGAGAAATTACATCCTCTCAAAACTGGAAGGGTAGCTTTTCTGCTTCAGTGCCATTTTTCTGGTCACAAATTAAAAAGCTTCCTCAGGATTTTCTAAGCAGTGGTCATGTCTTTGGTCTGACAGTAATATATATGTTGGTAATAATCCAAGAAAAGCATTTTTTCCTAACAATAGTTGGGATATGTTTCACAAGTACTTAACTGCTCAGATAAAAAGGAAGCAAGAAGGACCACCACCATCATCTCTTAGATAACAGCTTTAAGTAAATTACATTTTTTTACTTGGATCTCAGAAATGTAGAATCACTCTTCTCAAAGATACTCTGAAACCTTACTGTTGTGTAGCCAAAGCCACAGGGTTTTTCTTGAAGTAACTTCTGTGGAGGAGGTAGGATCAAAGAACGGTATGTTACCTGCTGAACTGCTCCCTTTTTCTGCTCTTTTGGGATCTCATCTCTTTCCTCAAAACGTAAAAGGAAAATTGTTGTATCCCACAGTTGTCATTGCCCTGTGCAGAGTCACTACAGTGAGGATTGGTGATCAACTGAAAGGAGTCTCTTTTTTTTTGCTGTGATTTGTGTACCTTTTGGCAGATGGGTCACTTTCAGATGGGTCTGAAAATCTTCAACTGATTTTAATGCTTGAACTCTGGTGTTCTGTAAGCTTTATTGCAGGACTTTGTTCTTTGTTGTTTATTTTAGAATGGGTAGCCAGGATTTTTTTAAAAATGGATAATAGTTTCCAGGACAAACATTCTGAATTTGTATCTTCTTTCAGAAATTCTGTGATACAAAAAGGCAGAACAGTGGCAGGGTTCTGTGTCCAGTTCTGGTTAAGACTGAAGATTCAGCAATACTTGCAAAAGAAATAGGAGGGTATGTAGGAGACCTTACCATTTTGTCAGCTTCTGTGTGTTGGTTGTTCCTAGCATTCCACTGTTGTACCCAGATGGGGGTAAGAACTTAAAAGCAAGAGATCCTTGACTCTGACCACTGACAAGGCATGCAGACTGTAAAGTTCCTGAGGTAAAAGGTACTCCTTGAGCTACACCCACCAGCTTTGAGCTTTCCCTTGACTCACATTAACTTTTCTTGTGTGAGCTTGTTTCTTTAGAGCAGTAGTGGACATACAGCTTCATTGAGAAGGACAAACAGCTTCCATTGCCTGACACAGTCACAGAGAACAGTCACAGTCCAAAGGCTTTTCTCAGGGTACTTTTTCCCATTAGGTCTTCAGATTGGTTGAAAATTTTGTGGTACAGTTGTTTGCAGGAGTGGGACCTTGAATTTAGTTCTGTGCATCTAAGCTCATCACTCCCAGTAAAGAAGGTGGTTTCCTGAAGTCCCTGCTTTTTTCAGTTGCTGCAGTCTGCTATTGAATGAGACTCTACGTGCTCTTTTCCAACATGCATGGCCTTAGAGATCTCAGTGGATCAGTGACTGCTGTGTTCTGTGGCAAAGTTGATGTTGGGGTTCATTCATTTGAATTTTTCTAGATAGTAATATTCAGTCTTGATCAAGAGGTAGTAATGCATATCACTCATATCCATTGCTTAGATTTGTGTGGTGCATTTCTACATGTGGAGATGATGGAGTGGTTTGGTGTGGCTCTGTAGGACTGCACAAGTGAGTGATAATGCTCCACCCAGCATGCTTACTCAAATGTTTAAACATGTTTCACATGTTCATGTGAAAATATGTGTATGTGATCTCAAGTAGAGAGAAAACCAATGAAAGTCAATGAGAATAACAACAAAGAGTGGAGTTAAGATGTGTGCTTGTTTCAGATTCGAAATTTGGAGGGAATGAAGGCTGGCTATGCATTCCTGAAAAGGAGACTTCTTTTCTCTACATGTTGTCCTCACAAGAAAGAGTATATGTACTTGTACCCCAGAACCCTTGAGAAGAAAATGTGAGTCTGTTAAGTCTTAAGAATATGAATGTATGTATCAACATGCAGGACTTAGCCCATATTTGCATATAGCATAATGTGACTTCAGTTCTGATTTTTGGCCTAAAAACACTATGTGTGCATGTAAAATATAATTAATGTAATGTTTGACCCTGGAGGAGAATTTTTATCTGACCTTTTATCAGGAGTAATTTTGGAAGCTGCCCAAAATGTAAAATCCCCTGAAGTTCTTCTAAAGAGATGTTAATGAAAAAACACTTAGGGGTATGCTGGTCTCAGATCTCTCTGAGGAAGAGAAACTTCAATGTGACTTTGCTCAGAGAAGCCTAGATTTTGAGACTGTTATCTGCACAGAAATAAGGTAAAATGGAAGTCTGGCTATTCTGGTCACAACAGCTAAACTTTAACCAAATTGGAAAAAAATTGTACAAAGTTCTATATATGAGGTGACTTGGACTCTGCTTCTTGGGGCAAATCACATGTGCTTGCTTTGATCCCCAAGGTTCATCCATCCTGTGAGATGGGTATGAGACGCTGCCCTTGTCCTGGTGTGGCAGTTCAGCTGTAAGGAAGCAATCTGATTTAGGTATGCCTGGCTTAAAGCCTGCCTAGAGCCAGAACATGACCCTCAAACCATGCAGAGCTGGAAGGCCTGTCTGCCACGAGCTGAGCCACAGAGGGAAGAGGCTGTAAGAATTTCCTCTTTCCTTTCAAGTGAATATTTAAAAGTTTTGCTTCTCACTTACCCAGCTCCTTATCTGAGTGTGCTTTTCGGAGGTTCTTAGGGCAGGGCATCAATATATTGGCCTTACATGTATGTGTACTAGTGTTTACATTTCTCTTAAAATTTAAGTGGCTGCTTTTAGATTGTAGAACATTGAGAGTTCTGCTCAAGCAATGTAACTGCTGTGGGGTGTGTACCTGCATATTTTGGTGGCTCTTCTCTTTATCATAGTGGGATATAAAAGGCTTGTCTAAAGATCTCCTAATTCTTTTCATAGCACATACTGTAACCCTA